TGAAACATAGACTTTCATTTTGGTTGATAAGCATACCTTCAAATTTTGGTTGTCATAAGTGTGTGAGAAACTAAACAATCCCTTTAGATGGTTGAAAATGTGTGTGCAGATAGAGTTAATATTAAACAAGAAGGAGGGTCTGATGACTTAACTTTGAAGGGCATGACAAAGGTCGACATATCAAACAGGCCTGTAAAGTTTTCGATTTGTGTCAACATTTACAAAGCACTACGGCAACGCTGGTGTATATATCAACATTATAAGACCAAATGTGTAAACGCGGTCAAATATGTCATATGACTGTGGCCTTTCAAATATGATTTTTTTTCATTTTCTGGTTACTGTTTTAATAGATCAGATTTCCGATCAAATCTCAAATTGACTTTAATGAGAAATGGTTGTTGACTCATTTTAACTCTGACTATGACTACATTCAGGGGTCAGCTGGTCTGTCTGTGTAAAAATAAAGTAAAAAATGTCCCATATACAGGGATGTGAATGGATAACTTAACTTTCATACAGGTGAAATCTGGTAAATCTGGAATTATGAGCTGCATAACAATGTGTCTGGTGTAGATAAAGAATGAGTGAATGGATGCATTCATCCGCCCATTACAGAGAGAAACAGCATCAGAATGTGTTAATTCTGCATGACTGTTTTTCAATTTTCATTTTCTATTTTTCAAATGAACTGGAATGTATAAACTAGTAGATCTATTTAGAATACTGAGGAAAATACCATACAAAGGAAAAAATACCACACGAAAAAAAAAGCCATACGGCATGATAACAGCTAGTGATTGCAGTGAGTGACTTTTCCATATACATAATGAGGAAACTGTTTAGCTTTTTTTTATTTTTTTTTGTGGGGATAGGGAGATAACTATTAGCAACTGAGGCAGACTGAACCTGACTCACCAACTGTTTAAAATATAACCACAAAGAAACCCATATCTGAAACATAGACTTTCATTTTGGTTGATAAGCATACCTTCAAATTTTGGTTGTCATAAGTGTGTGAGAAACTAAACAATCCCTTTAGATGGTTGAAAATGTGTGTGCAGATAGAGTTAATATTAAACAAGAAGGAGGGTCTGATGACTTAACTTTGAAGGGCATGACAAAGGTCGACATATTGTCTATCTGTCTGTCCGTCCGTCCATCCGTCCATCTATAACCACAAAGAAACCCATATCTGAAACATAGACTTTAATTTTGGTTGATAAGCATACCTTCAAATTTTGGTTGTCATAAGTGTGTGAGAAACTAAACAATCCCTTTAGATGGTTGAAAATGTGTGTGCAGATAGAGTTAATATTAAACAAGAAGGAGGGTCTGATGACTTAACTTTGAAGGGCATGACAAAGGTCGACATATCAAACAGGCCTGTAAAGTTTTCGATTTGTGTCAACATTTACAAAGCACTACGGCAACGCTGGTGTATATATCAACATTATAAGACCAAATGTGTAAACGCGGTCAAATATGTCATATGACTGTGGCCTTTCAAATATGATTTTTTTTCATTTTCTGGTTACTGTTTTAATAGATCAGATTTCCGATCAAATCTCAAATTGACTTTAATGAGAAATGGTTGTTGACTCATTTTAACTCTGACTATGACTACATTCAGGGGTCAGCTGGTCTGTCTGTGTAAAAATAAAGTAAAAAATGTCCCATATACAGGGATGTGAATGGATAACTTAACTTTCATACAGGTGAAATCTGGTAAATCTGGAATTATGAGCTGCATAACAATGTGTCTGGTGTAGATAAAGAATGAGTGAATGGATGCATTCATCCGCCCATTACAGAGAGAAACAGCATCAGAATGTGTTAATTCTGCATGACTGTTTTTCAATTTTCATTTTCTATTTTTCAAATGAACTGGAATGTATAAACTAGTAGATCTATTTAGAATACTGAGGAAAATACCATACAAAGGAAAAAATACCACACGAAAAAAAAAGCCATACGGCATGATAACAGCTAGTGATTGCAGTGAGTGACTTTTCCATATACATAATGAGGAAACTGTTTAGCTTTTTTTTATTTTTTTTTGTGGGGATAGGGAGATAACTATTAGCAACTGAGGCAGACTGAACCTGACTCACCAACTGTTTAAAATAAGAATGTAGTCAAACCTTGATTAAAAGAGTCATGAGGGTTGGAAAAAATGTCTGTCAGAAACGAGACCGGGATCCAACAGCAGGTGAAAACAAATTCCAAGTTTATTGAAACTGGGATAACAAAAAGTCAATAAATCAGCCGGATGGCAAAACCCCAGCAAAAAGTCAGTTCAGGTCAGTGCGGAGGTTAGGGAGAGAACAGGAGCAGAGACAAACCGGGACTTTAATCTATCAAAGGCCTCCTGAGCCTGAGCAGTCCAGGTGAACGGTACCTTGTTGGAGGTGAGCGCCGTTAAGTGTGCAGCTACCTGGCCAAAGTTCCTGATGAATCGCCGGTAGAAGTTGGCGAAGCCCAAGAAACGCTGCAGAGCCTTCCTGGAGTCGGGGACTGGCCACTTAGCGACAGCCTCGACTTTGGCCGGATCCGGCTTAATCTCCCCAGCCGAAATAATAAAGCCCAAGAACGAGACCGACTTGGCATGGAACTCGCACTTCTCCGCCTTGACATAAAGCTGGTTCTCCAGCAGCCGTTGTAAGACCTGGCGCACGTGCTGAGTGTGTACCTGAAGAGATGGAGAAAAGATGAGAATGTCATCGAGGTACACAAAGACAAACTGGTTAATCATGTCTCCCAGCACGCTATTAACCATGCCCTGGAAGACAGATAACAAAGCCCAAGTAGACCCCACCGAAATCGTGACAATGTCATTATCATAATCATGTGATGCTTAGTCTATAACCTGCAGCCATGGCTCTGTTTAGAAAAGCAAACACAAGGCAAAGAAATTAACTTTTATATAAACATTGGGTAGGTGCAAAAATTTTACCTTTAGGGTTACAATAGCTTCACTAAGTCACTTTCTTTAAAGGGACAACTTTGTACCTTATCCCCCTAAAGCTTCATTGAAGTACCCAATTGGTGAAATGATTTTGCAGATGTAACTCTCTACTGCAGATGACAATCTGATTCAAGACATTTTGGGTGATTGCACGCCAAAACTAAAAAATAAAATAAAATGCTGTGGCTTAAATGACTCACTCAAACATCTGAACTTGAACAGACATCTGGTCTGTTTAATTAAGTAATTCTTTCCACAGAGCATTTTCTTTAAACAAACAAACATTAAAAAAACAAAAACAAACAAACATTTTAGCTAAATGCTTGTATAATAAAAACATAAAATTTGTATGTTTGTAGTATTAGTATGTAAGTAATATGTATTATTGCTCTTTTTGTGAGCAGGCAGTGAAACTATTTTTGTTGTTTATTTGTTTTAGTTTTTTTTCCAAAATGTATTTATTTACTGCGGATGACACAATAAACAAACAAGGAACTCTGGTTTTTCCTGACCTGTGTGGTACCTGTACTCTTCTGTTACTGGTAATATGATTTGCTTGATAAACTTTCTTGTATTAGTAAAGATTTTATGCATTGTGCCCCTACATAGTGGCCTCTTTCTGCTTCCTTTTTTCTTTTATCATATGGTGCACTTTTATGGTTTTTGTATCTTTCATGACTCACTCACCGTATCAATGTTTCTCATCAGTTTTAGCAGCAGAAAGGAGTATCAGATTATTGAGGTGGAGAGGATCACAGATTTAATTTTTTGAAGTCTCCTGAAAAAATGGAACTGTTCACATTGTCCCTGCATTTCATTAAAAATGAACTGTTTTCCTTCTTTATTAGGCCCAGTTTGACTAAAACAGATGACAGAAGTCAAAGGACTTCTCAAAATTTGTGATATCACAGTTGAACTTAAAAAGATAAAGGAAAACTTTTATAACTAGGCCTACATACAGGCCCAATGAATACTTGGCAATGCACCTTCTGTTGTATGAATGAGATGAACAAATTTGTTTCGATTTAGTACATTATTTTAAATAATAAGCAGTAAACACACCACAATTTCAGTATTAAGGTGAATACACTGCAGTCTTTAGGATTCTCTTTTAACTGAAGCATGTTGTGGGACACATTATCTTCCTACTTTACTGCACCACTGGAGCTGGTTATAGCTATTGATCACATCTACCTGGACCTAGTTTTATAGAGGCTTGAATTGACATAGGCTACTATATTTACACAGTACTGATTGGTTTTGGTTACCTTTAATCTTTGTACAATAACAAGTCTCTATCATCTCATTGCCTACCTCGAGTGCATTTATGTGAGATTAAAATACATTTTATGTCAATGTGCAGACTTTTATAGTTGACCTCTGTCTAACTGGTGAGATCAGTCCTGGTTTGTACAATGTACATATTTCCAAATACTTGCACCTTTTGAGCTGTTTGCCAGTTTGTTTTCTTCTGCATTTGAGGATGCATTCAAAACTTCCTACAACGGTTGTGGTTAATACGATAGCTGAGAAACTGGCTAATATTTTGGTATCTAAAAACGTAGGATTTAATTATTCTCTAAACATCTCTCAAATATGACTTGCACAATTGGAAATGGTTAAGATACATATGAACAAATGAGATTTTAGAGGAAAAGATTATCAGTGAATAATAAGTTTTTCTTATTAAATCAACACACAGCTACTGGAAAGCATTAGTAGCGATCAAACAGCTTTGTCATCTCACCGCGAAACTCCTCAAAATCCATGCAAAAGTGGGCTCTAGCGTCCCAAACGGCAGTCCCACACTCGCGAGCCTTTCCCATCAACAGTGTAATGACATAGGCAACCTTTAACCGTTCTGTAGCATATCGGCGTGGTTGCAGCGCGAACACCAGTGAACACTGAGATAAGAATGCCCGACATGAATTCGGATCTCCATCGTATAAGGGCGGGTTGTTGGCATGCGGCTCGGGTAACAAATGAGATTTTAGAGGAAAAGATTATCAGTGAATAATAAGTTTTTCTTATTAAATCAACACACAGCTACTGGAAAGCATTAGTGCTGAGAAAAAAGATGAAAGGTGATGAGATTGTTTGGTGAGTGTAAGATTTGATTTTTATTTCAGATTTATTAAATGACAGAGTTTCTCATTGTAATACATTTTAGTTTTTCTACATTTTCAGTTGTTTGATATTTTATTTCTAGTCATTTTGATGACTGTTTTGATTTTTGTGACATTATTTACTTTGATCAATCTCTTTCTTAGTCAAAACTCTTCCTTATGTGAGAGTCCATTCAAATGCAGTGATGCAGAGGCCAGTACTGTAGTTGAAGCTGTGAGTATTTATGTCCTTTCATACTGGCTAATTTTTGCTATTAGACAGAAGACAAATACTCTTTTGCTGTTGTAGGCTGCAGAATATGGGGAACCCCTCCCAGTACCATCTGAAGGTAAAATTGTATTTAATGTTTTTCAATACTTTTACAAGTTACATGACTTTGTTAACTTCGTTTCTATTTTGCAGTGGACAAATGGGTCTTCTTCACAAAGTAAAAGATCATTAACTCTTTGCAGTGTGATCTCAGAAGAAGGTAGAAAAGGCCAGAAGAATGCCAGAAGTCAGTAATGTCCCTGGTGCAAAGATTTTTGTTTTATTAATGTTTTATTTTTTAAAACATTGCTTTATTTATTAGAACAAGACACACACACACACACACCCCTCTCATTCATTTGGTGAAATTACCAAGTTATTTTTGCAGTAACATTGGTGAACGTGTTTCTGAACTTCAAATGCACGTGTTTCAGTGCCAAAGATCATGTTCATACTTTAAAGGTTGAATAGTTAATCTCTAAAACCTGAGTTTTTTTTTTCTTCTTCAGACTTTTACAGTGCCTTTTCGTGTGTGTGTGTTTGTTTTGTTTATTTCTATTTATACACCTATTCTGACAAGTCCTTTAGGAACAAGTGAGCAAGTTTAAGCTTAGGTACAAGGTTAAGAAAACTTTGCTTTGTAATTACTGCCATTAGGAACCAATATACATTGGGTATTAGGACAAGAAGAGTTCGTCTTCGCAAGATGACCAAGAAATCAAACTCTGTAGCAAGAATGTGAAGTTCCATGCCTGATGTAAAAAAGAAATAATACTCTACTTTTTTCCCTGGAATGTGTACCATCTGAATCAAGTACTAGTATACAGGAAATAAACTCGGATCAATCTTTTTTGTTTTCCATGATAATATATTTACACAATTAAAAGTGTTTAAATTGTAACTTTAATAAAAAAAAGTTTAATTGCTTTATTAATGCACTGAAAGAAGAATTGTTTTAAATTTTTCTAATTTAAATTTTATTATCAGTTATTGTAAAAATTATTCACACCCTTGGACTTCATTGTGTTAGTCTTTGTTAGTAATCTAAAATAATGAAATGCAAATAATAATTGTAAAATCAAAGTGTTGTAAAGAAATAAAACGTCACAGTTTCCAAGGGTCATATACTTTTGTAAGCACTGTTTGTAATTGTACCATTTGCAAATTATAAATAAAACCATATTATTTGTTTGGTTTATTTAATAATTAAAGGAGTCAAAATTATAAATATAAAGTTGCATAATTTACAGTAAATTTCTGAAATAAATATCATTTTTATTAAAAACCACATTTCAGCAATATTAGGAATGATAAGAAATCATAACAAACAGCTTTCAAATAAACTGCATTCAGTTCTTCAGTACATTACAATACTTGCAGTATTCAAAGCCATTCTTAATTCAATGTTTTAAGCATTACAAATTTGAAGGGAAAAGGGGAAGCAATACAAAAAGGCAGAAAATAGCACATTTAAACCTTTAGTGTCTAATGGCAAAATACCAACAGGTGTACATAAACAGCTAGCTTAATGTAAAAGTTGTGCACCCCAGTTTGTTAGTTGACGTCAGAAAGTCATTCAAGTAAAGTTGACTCCACTCAGAAACTCTCCGAAGCATCTTCAAGTATGGCTATTCTTGTCACTCACTAAATTTTAACCACCACTTTTGCTTCATACACAACCTGCTACTCAAGCTGGGTTCTGTACACAGAAAATTAACAATTAACGGTTGTGGTTAATACGATAGCTGAGAAACTGGCTAATATTTTGGTATCTAAAAACGTAGGATTTAATTATTCTCTAAACATCTCTCAAATATGACTTGCACAATTGGAAATGGTTAAGATACATATGAACAAATGAGATTTTAGAGGAAAAGATTATCAGTGAATAATAAGTTGCATTTCAGTCTTCTCCTCACACAAAGCTATTGGATCTCAGAATAGCCTACTTGAAGTTGTGGACCACTTTTATAGTGAGTTTTGACAGACGGTGGTCAGCTTTCACTTTTAAATGTATGGAAAGAGTAAACATTTAATTCATTTGCATTTGCTAAGGATGTTTAAGGTTATATTCTTGTATGTAACTACAAAACAAAAAGGTGAATCTGTGGCAATGCAGTTATCTACATGATTAACACTGAGTTTTTACCTTTCATTTTTTTAGCAGCTATAGAAAGACGAAGAGCACCCCCTACCGAACACTCATCAACTGCCTTACATTTGCCTAATATTGTATAGCTAAAAATGAATGGTTATTTTTTTTAATTAAAATAACCCTAAACCTAAATAACAAAAAATAATCATAACAATAAGTGAAAGGAATAAAACATATTAAATGTTAACTTAAATTTCATATAATCTCCCTATCGCTGGTAATATCCACACTGTTCCCCATTCTTGCATATTTACTTGCTTGGATTGGCTTTGGCTACCCTTTTGTGTGAATTACGGTCATCTGGCTATAGGTGGCAGTATGGAATATCTAAAAGAGAATTTGTGACGCGCAATGTGCGAGACGTTCAAACGCAAGCAGGAATATACGTCGATGTAAATAATGCGTTCAGTAATTCATACTGCCACGAGGTTTTCTGCTGCCTTCTTCTCTTCACAGTCCTCTCAGAAAAGCACGTCTTTATTTTCAGCTGCTTCCATTCATTTGAGAAAAATGGCGCGTTACCTTACAGAGCTGAGAGGACGACCAAACGCTACTGACTACAGGGTGTACTTGAGTAAGTTTGCTCTTCTCACCTTTTAATGTCATTCATAAAAATGAGCATTATAAACGGCTCACACCTTTCAAATAAAATGAGTATTGGTGACAGAACATGTTACCTCGCCGCTGATTTATGCGCTCTAACGGCGGGAGATTTCTGAACGTCATAAGCAAGAGACAGAACATGCATGCATTTACGGTTACACTCACGCAAGTTAAAAACCTAACGATTACACTATATAATTTGCCCATTTATCGTTGTATTTTGTACACTTTACGCTTACTACATATGGTCTAGCAACACGCAAGGTCTCATGGTCATTTAAACATACAGAGTAACGGTAGAGAATACTTCATTGATACCTTGAGATGAATTGAACTTGGATGAATGATACAGATTGTAACATTTGCGTTGCAGAAACTTCAGATGGAAAGTACATATCCCCTTTCCATGACATTCCTCTGTATGTTGCTGATGAACAGGTTGGTATAATGTTCTTCAAATCAGTGATGTTATGTCTGATAGTAATAAATAAATGAGTCATTTATTAAATAACCTAATTGACATCAAGATAACGGGCACAATTCTTACCCAGTCTTTTTTCTAATTTTGTTGGCATTATGTTTCTCCCATATCAGGAATGTGGTGTTCCACCAAAGAAGTTTAAAACGAATGAGGTAACCATTCCTCAATCTACACATATTGGGAGCTTATTGTTGCAAAATAGAAGTTAATAATTAGAAAATAGAAAATAATTCTGTGCTGTCTTTAACAGATATTGTTTAATATGGTTGTAGAAATACCTCGTTGGTCAAATGCCAAGATGGAGGTAAGTATATTTTTATAGAGTTGTAGCAGTTTTTCTAGTGTCTGACTGTGGCTAAGATGACCAGCAATTCTCTATTTCTTAATTTGATTGATCAGTTGGCTGATTTGGCCAATAAATAAGAAAGCCAATTTAACATTGAATATAAGATTTACATGAGAAGAATAATAGAAAAAAAGAGAGTTAAAAAAAAAAACCAAGTCAGTTATTTATATATCAATAGGTTGCCAAAAGGAAGATTTATCTGCCAATAATAATTATAAATAATACCATATAGCTAACCATGTAAATATAACTTTGTATCTGGGCTGTGTAGCTTCAGGCTTATACAGTAAGTACCAAATCAATCAAAAAATTACATTTTGATATTAAATTAAACATTTTAATCCATTAATTATTGTATGTTCTGATATTGTGCTTAATGCAATGCAATAGTATGTTATTTTAGTATGTTATTTTTATTTTTTGTCCACAGATAGCAACAAAGGAACCACTAAACCCAATCAAGCAAGATGTGAAGAAAGGCAAGCTGCGATATGTTGCTAACATTTTTCCACACAAAGGTTACATTTGGAACTATGGTGCACTTCCACAGGTGATGTCATGGTTTTGATTATGGCTATGATTTTCAAAACTGTCTGCAATCTGATTTGAACATCTTAATTGTACAGTATTCTTGCGTTGTGTGTTTGTGTGTAATTTTTCTCTGTCACACATTATATAAATACAAAAAATTGTTTTTTTTTAAACCAATGTTTAAAGACATGGGAAGATCCCAGCCATACTGACAAGGCAACCATGTGCTGTGGAGACAATGACCCCATAGACGTGTGTGAGATTGGCTCCAAGGTGGGTGGAATCACTGGTTGATATAATATTTTACAAAACTATTTACAACATTTAGCAGTTTTGTATTTCACACAAAAAAAAAACAATCCTATATGTAAGTTTTGCTTTCATTTCAAAATACTGAAACCTTAAAATCAGTATTTCTCAGTCTTTTTAAAAATGATTTTAATGACTTTTCAGTCAATCCTCATTAGGGCTGCGCGATAAATCGAAATGAAATCGAAATTGCGATTAGACAGAAGCTGCGATTGTCATGCGTATATTTCAGTGAAGCCCGGTTCTGTGATCAGCAGTAAATCTCCATCCAAAGGCCAGAGGGCGCTCTCGGGCTGAAACTCCAAATACGCCTCGCAGAAGAAACTCAGGAAATACCAGAAGATTTAACTGCTGTCATTGATTCAACTTGACTAATAAACACACAATTATGACAATATATGGTTTATCTGAGTTATTATTATTATTATTATTATAATTTTCATTCAAATAAAGTATATTTATAATGCAATGCCTTTATCACTGCTTAAATACTATGAAATATGTTGCGTGCCTTATTCTGTGTAAGAAGCCACATCATCTCACAGAAGGATTTATTTCAAACACTCGGCTCTGTGTAGTAAATGCTGCTCCATCTGAAAGCAGGTGATGATTTACTGCTGATTACAGAACCAGCTTTACTAACAAAATGCACATGACAATCTAAGCCACTGTATATTTCTGTGTTACAGGTGTGTGTAACCGGGCAGGTGATTCAGGTTAAAGTTCTTGGAATTCTGGCTTTGATAGATGAAGGAGAGACTGACTGGAAGGTAATAGCCATCAATATAGAGGACCCTGATGCATCAAGCCTTAACAGTGAGTCATTTTTCAAAATGTTTTTGTTGTATTTATGACTGTAATCTCAACTAGTGTATCTTTAACAGGTGTTGAGGATGTGAGAAAGATTAAGCCTGGACACCTTGAGGCTACTGTGGATTGGTTTAAAAAATATAAAGTGCCAGATGGGAAGCCTGAGAACCAGTTTGCATTCAATGGACAGTTCAAGGATAAGGTAGTGCATCATGGAAGATTGATTATGAGAGAGAAGCGTTAATCCATTCAGTGATCAATCATCTAATGTTAATGTTGTTAATATCATGTTAGGACTTTGCTATAGAAGTCATAAAATCAACACACAGCTACTGGAAAGCATTAGTGATGAGAAAAAAGATGAAAGTTGATGAGATTGTTTGGTGAGTGTAAGATTAGATTTTTATTTCAGATTTATTAAATGACAGAGTTTCTCGTTGTAATACATTTTAGTTTTTCTACATTTTCAATTGTTTGATATTTTATTTCTAGTCATTTTGATGACTTTTGATTTTTGTGACATTATTTACTTTGATCAATCTCTTTC